CACACGCAACGGAACTGCAAAGCAGTCCCAGCATGCGTAAAGTGCGCCGGACGACATTTAACTAGCGAATGCAAAAGACCAAAAAACTCGCCTGTGCGTTGCTTTAATTGCAAGGGCGATCCAGCTAGCTTCCACGGGTACCCAGAACTCCCTGAGAATAAGAAAAAGGCCTCAGACGGGCCAAATGCGAACGACAGCCCCCAAACCCGAGGACTGCCAAACAAAATTTAGTTAGGAGCGAAGTCTCGTACGCGAGAGCCGCAGCCACTACAGAGAACTCCTACAGCTCTCCCGAAGGTCTCCCAATGGCCCTAGGGCAGCTGCAGGAGATTCCGGTACTGCAGTCTATGCTTGCCGGTAATAAATAAGAAACCACAGCCTAAACGGCAAAAAAGAAACGTAGAAGAGTGCCGCGACTTCTACCAACAGAGCTACTAGCCACAAGAAGTCGACAGAGACCCGTCTCTGTTGCCGAAAAACACAAACAGAAACCAAAACAGATAAAATGTCCAATTAGATGAAAGGATCAGGGGCCCAGGGCTCAAACATCTGAACTACAAAAGATAACGTGCAGCAGCGAGAGTCTGGCTCTGACCGTAGTAGAGCGCGCTTCGTGGAAACGTTATTGACAAAGAAAATGATAGTGGTGATAAAAATCTTTGAAATTGTAAAAGGAGTCTACGGCTGCGAGTTTCTTTATACAGAGACTAGGGAAGTGAAAACAAATACCCCAAATTACTTTCAAGGCAAACAGTATTAATAGAAATTCCGAAGCAGAACTTTATAGGTAGACTGGACACATACAGTGCTAGTCAAAAGTCCCCTCCCCCCCTCGTATCTTTGGAACGGATATACTTATAATAATGAAATTTGGAGGGTGGAAATAAACGGATGTAGGCTTCTCAACTGGTCATAACAGGTGACGCAATAGTCATAAATGACGTCACAAGGCCACTGTGACCAAAAATTTTAAATGGGACCCTATGGCAAGTGACAGCTCGTTTGAAAGGTATTGNAAGCCTACATCCGTTTATTTCCACACTCCAAATTTCATTATTATAAGTATACCCGTTCAAAAGATACGAGAGGGGGAGGGGACTTTTGACTAGCACTGCATATTCCATTTCGACGAGGAGATTGCTACGATATAAAAACCGAACTTTATAGTTCTACGAGGAGCTTGCAGTTATAACAAAAACAGAACTTATCAGTTCAAAACTGCCCTTTTCAGGACTTCACTAAAACGAATTCGATATCAAGACACGTATTCATCGAGGGACCAACTAGCCGGCCTCCTTCGACGTATTCGACCTGCCCAGGCCCGAATACATCTGGAGGTACGCCGACCCAGTACTACTACGGAGCAATTCACGTGAATTACTCCATTGCACTGTCGTCTGGGGGTTTTAAACCGTCCGTGTGCCTCCGGAGGCTGTTCTCGTCTTCGGGGAGAGGGACAATATTCGCGCGGTGCGGACGGCGAAGCGTCTAGCGACTGAAACAAACGCATAGCAATGTACTTATGAAGCCACGCGCAACGGCGATCGGCGAAGCGACCAGTGAAATGTACCGAGCGAATCGCGTGGACGACTTGCGGCGCGGCCGGGGAGCAAAACAAATGCATGAATCTGTACGGCGCGAGCCACGGAGTCGAGCGGTAGTCGCGGCGAATAGTGCAGTGATCAAACGAGTTTAGTTATTTTCGCTGCGAGAAATGAACACCGAGACTTTTATTGCTGGATAAAAGACTGATTAAAAAGTTAGAAACTCATTATTCATTCTACCGTCAATTACAAGTTAGAAGTTGTTTTTTGTTTTAGTTGTACGAAAAATTACTCTCACATAATTTAGATTTTTGCAATAAATAACATAAATATCTGAAAGTGTTTTTATTTCATTAAATAATAATATACAGGGTAACATTTAATTAGCTGATAATATTTCGGGCAATATGTCAAAAACAATTTTTCAGCGGCACTTAAAATTCTATTCGCATTAACTTTTTTCTCCAATTCTGGTTGAATATTCATGAGAATATATACGAAGGTTTCAGTACTCATTCTGGTATACTCAAAACATTTTTCTGGATATAATCTGTGTTTCTCGTACTTCTTGTGAAATTCTCCATCTATAACCCAGTTCTAATTCAAATCATGTACTTCACAATCTCTTCCAAATATTAGGTCTTGAACCAAAAAACTATTACTTTCTGAGCAATATCGAGATAATTTCGATAAAGACATTTCGCTGTCGGACTATTGGTCGCGACGGCGAACGTGACTACCCGTGGCCTGCAAACGGTGTCGCGCGAATGGTCGCTTCGCCCTCCGCTTCGACGTTCGCACCGCCGATCCCCGTGGCCAAGCTGTAAGGTTTTTTATTATAACTTCTATTTCTGAAGACAGAAAAGGCTGAAATTCGTGTGATCTACACTATGAATCCTCAAAATATCACATCAAACAAAAACTTCTGAGAAGTGTCAGAAAATTTCAATCAGAAGAAATTGAAACAGTTCTTATTGATTATATTAAAAATCTACCAACGCTTGAGTTTGTCGTGAAACAGATAATTGACTTATAAATATTATACTGATATTTATTGCATAGAGATTCCAACCTATTACATTTTAAAATCCCACACATTATTTGACGAATAACTATAACATACATGAATGCTGATGACAAACAAATCTATTAGAGCTTTCCTCTGGAAGACAAAGAAACTGCCTCCATTCATAATTTGCACACTTTTAGAAAATTATTTCCAACAAACTAATTACTTAATACGGAACGATATATATTACACGATATAGTCAACAATAAATTACAAGTAATCACTCCCAGTTACTGAATAAGCTCAACAGTTTTCTAAACTTTGTATGTTACTAGGTATTATTATGTGATATTTTTTTTCTCAAAGTTCTTACCTACATTTATAATTATCCTAAAAGATAGAGTTGGCCGATACTGTCATTAACTAGTTCCTAGAATATTATTAGTTTTTAGGTAGATAGTAATATTTCAAAAAGTATATACAAATGTATGTAGAATTCAGTTTGTTAGTGAACGCGCTTGAAAAAGCTACTGTGCAGCGAAACACGTGTTGCGGATTTGTTAATCTGTTCTAGTGAAAATCTCACAATAAAGTGTTTTTCAAAATACATCAACTTTGAAATAGTTTTTGAGGTAAGTAAACAACTGGCAAATAGCTGAATAATATGATTGAATTTTATTATTTTTATAGTATTAAGATAGATGTCGTAGCAGGTCCAAGTAATGTACAAAGAAAGTGGAAGTTTATGTCGTTAGGAGAAAAACAGATTGTTTGTAGAGTGTACGAAAATTTAAAAAATACACTTCGTACAGTGGAAGCTGTTGCCCAGTGTTCATTTTTAACGGGAATATCCGTTTCGACAATTGAATGCATGGTACGTGAAAAAAGGGTGACAGGGATTGTGCAAGCTCCAAAAGTACATTGTCGTGGTAGGAAAAAAATTGAATTGGACGAGTACCAGGAAAATTTTGTACGCAATACCATTCATTCTTTCTTTTTTGAAAATAAAGCGCCAACCCTCGAATCCATCAGGATAATGATCTTATTCGAAAAATGAGCAAAGTGAAGTTAAGGAAAATGATAAAAGATGATTTAAATGTAGGTATATATGCCAAACGATCCCGTAAGTCTGTCTCAATAGAAAGAGAAGATATAGTCTCATGGCGACGGAGATATCTTCGCTCTATTAGAGAAATACGTTCTGCTCACAAAAAGATTTGAATGCTGGTCACACAGTATCTAAGATCTGGCAAGATACTACTGTAACTAGTTATCGTCAAGCATTTGTGGACGGTTTATCAACAGGGTTACGCGGACCAACGGGTAAAGTTCAACGACTAATTGTCTCCCATAAAGGTAGCGAGAGGGGCTTTTTAGACGATAGTGCACTAATTTTTCTATAAAAAAAACGGGGGATTATCACGAAGACATGGACGCTCAACGCTTTGAAGGATTGTTTGAATCCCTTCTTTCACGAGTCGAGCCAAATTCGGTAATAGTGATGGATAACGCTTCTTATCACAGCCGATTAGTAGAACAGCTGCTAACTATGCCACCAGAAAAGCAGACATGCAGAGTTGGTTAGGACAAAAAGGAATTCCATTTTTCGAGGACATGGTTAAGGCCGAGCTTATGTGTGTCATTAAACAGCATCGTGACAGATATCGCCAACATGTGGTGGATACAATAGCTAGTGCTGAAGGCATCACCATTTTGAGACTTCCTCCTTACCATTGCGAGTTAAACCCGATAGAATTAATCTGGGCTCAAATTGAGGGTTACGTAGCTCGTGAAAACGTGACATATAAAATTTCTGATGTCCAACGTTTATTAGAACTCGCAATGGATCGGATACGGAAAGAAGATTGGGCTAATGCTGTAGCTCATGTGATCAAGGAAGAAGAGAAAATGTGGAGATTGGACGGGATGGTAGACACTGTTTTCGACCAAACAATAATAGATTTAAGTGTGACTGGGGATTCCTCTTCAGACGAGTCAATTGATTCTGAATCTTCAAAAGCATAAAAACAAGTCTTTTTTCACTACATCTATACAAGATGCAACAGCGTTTTTCATAAAAGCTGTCTACCAAGGTACAGAAAACTGAAGAGGCAAGATGGCAACAAAATTATCTGTCGTACTGAACAACTCAGTGAGGCAGATACTCAGGACATTGAGGTCAGTATTCTAGAGAAAACAATAATGGAATTACATAAGTGAACTAAAAAGACAACATGAATTATTTTTTGAAGAAGCAATGAAAAATGAATCAGAAATGAATACTTTATTGGAACAGAGAGAAATCCTAATCTCCGAACTAAAGGAACAAATTAAACTTTTCAAGAACGAGAGAGAGAAACAAAACAAACCAACAAAAAATGTAGACACACAAACATACAGGGCTTTTCATGATGAGCGTTAATTAGCCGTTTCTGAAAAAGAAAAGATTGTTATTGATGTGTTTACTTATCTATTGGATACAAAACTCATCATGAACTCTGAAAATAAAACATTATCAGCTGAATGAGTTATCTCTTGGCTAACCAATTATTCAAAGAGTATTTTTCGTCTTCTTTCAAAACGAATCTGTAAAGAATCGCTCCCGTTGCCATCCCCAGTATCGGAGCGATCTCGTAAATCCAATGGTCCTTCCAAATATTTTCGAAGAGAGCTGGCGGAAAACTTCTAGCAGGATTAAGACCAGCTCCCGTAAATGATTCTACCGAGAAAACCAATCCTGATATCATGAGACCCAGTCTGAGGCAAAATGAGTCTCTGTAAGTGGCGTTTTTGCTATCAATGGCACCAAAAACAAAAATGATGAGGACAACCGTACATAGGAACTCCAAAAAAAATCCTTGTGTCGGAGTAATCCCAACTTTCAAGCGAAGTAAGCACATTTTTTCCGTTTTAGGTGTGACGACCTGAAAAAACAAAAAATTATCAATACTAATGATTTGAAAATTTAGAGTTTATAGAGTCACAAAATGGAGCACGTCCATTTTTTGTTTCAGAGGGATAAATTATTATAATAATAATAATAATAATAATAATAATAACTTTATTCACAACGTATACAGATTAGAGTACAATTAAAACAAAA